CAGGTCCAGAATCTACCAGTTGGACTTGTTAAATTTCATCCCATCAATCCCAATGCTCCAATCTATAGAGACCCCTCTGCAAGGCATCTTGTCCCTCAAAAGAGTCAACAGCATCTCCCAGCTTGGTATCATCTGTAAACTTGTTGAAGTTGCATTCAACTTCTGCCTTCAGATCGTTGATAAATACATTGAACAGGCCTTGCCCTAGAATTGAGCCCTGAGGAACACCACTGATGATTGGTAGCCAGATAGATGTAGCCCTGTTCATTACAACCCTTTGAGCTCTGCCCTTCAGCCAATTATTCACACAGTGCACTGTGAATCCACTCATCCCACAGCCATGCAACTTGTCCATAAGGGACAAGTTGTGAGGGACAGTAGCAAAAGCCTTACTAAAATCCAGAACAACTATATCCACCATCTTCCCTTCATTCACTAGGTGGGTGACCTTATCATACAAAGATATCAAATTAATTAAACAGGACTTACCCTTTGTAGACCTGTGCTGACTGTGCCCAATGACTGCATTATTCTTTAAATACCTTTCAACAGTAGCCAGTATAATCTTTTCCGTAATTTTTTCCAGCCCTTCTTTGAAGGCTAATGGTACCAGTTTACAAAACTTGTAACTTTGAAGTTGTGCTTAGGTTTTTACCCTCTTTACATAGGCATAACTGTTCTTTGCTTCCTTTTCACCCTCCCTCCCCACCATCCAGCATATGCTATTGCATAGTTAACTGTGCCTGTACAGCTATTTTGCACAGAAATTAAAATAAACTAGTGTGGTGTAACACATTATAAATAATAAAGTGCATTTGCACAAAGGATTTTGCTGGTACTATGAGTTAAAAAAACCAAAAGATCATCCTTACAACTTGACACAGTTGTAAATGCTACATTGACACATCTGGAGCAAATGCAGGCACTGGGGCTCTGGTCATGGTAGCCAAGTTGAAGAGACACTGCTGAGGTGCTGTGTCTGGTGTCTTTTGATATTTAAGCTCTAAATGTCTACTGTTACAACTCTGCCTTTAGATTTTTCTCCCCACCAAATGCAGTGCAGAATCAAAAGCAATAGGTAGGGTCAGGTTCTGCAGAGGAATAGCAATGCTCATCCTTCTAAGTTGCTTGTATGAATGGGATAGGTCTGCTTCAGACACACACAGAGTGAACCCAGACCTTAAAGCATTTTACTGGGTCCTGATTCCAACAGAACAAGTAGTCCTTGGGGGGAGTCCAGCTGAACCTGCCAGTGCTCTAGAACAGCACTCTGCCTTTCACACCTACGCAGTCATTTTGTTAGTATCTGTACTGGGCAGTGCTTGAGTAAAGGAGTTGTTATATTTCTATCCCAAAGTTTCAGCACCAGAGTCTGCTGTGGATTAGTGAACAAGCATTTCAGCCCCAGAGAGCTAGTACAGAAGCTCTGAAAGATGAGCTAAAGAAATTAATCTTTTGGCATTTTTGCCTGGCTGACACTCGTTTCTCTCCTTAAAGAGAGAAAAGGTCACTGGGAGCTGAAAATCCAAGGAACCTGCTCGGTAATGTATTTCCCCTCACAAGAAACATCCAGAACTGTATTAGTTTTAAGTCACTGAATCAAAAGTAACTACCAGCATGTCTTTAGATTAATTTGGATGTTTCTAAGACAATCTCTATATGATAAAGGTTAGTATGAAACTAACCTGGTTGTAGTTGGATAATCCTGTAACAGCCTCTTGCAGGGATTCCTGTGTCTTCTTTTAAGCCACTAACAGGTTTCTGGTGAGATCTAATATGTCAGTTCCCATTTTCCTGCATACTAACAAGCTGAGCTGGACATGGATATATATTAAAATAAATGAAGTTTTGTGGTGAAAATCTGCCCTGGCTAAAGTCAACAGCAGTGCTCCCAAGGAAGGATGGGGGAACAGAACTTCAGGATGGCTGCAGAAAGCATTTCTGGTAGCTTTGGTTCCACCGGGACTGCAAAGACTGCCTCAGCCATGATGCACTATGAATGCCTGCAAATGCAATAACTCCCACCTCTCCTTGAACCTTGGGGAAATACCTTTCACAAGATATCAAAGTCCTAAAATGTTTGTTAAGAAAACCTTCACAGTCAGAGGTTTGTGGGGCGTAGAATTTCCAGTCTGCAGAAGGGCTAATTTCAGGTGCCCCTTCTTGACAGAAACTGCCACCGTGTTAAAAAAAAAAAAAGAAAAGAAACAGAAAAAAAGAAAAAAAGATATCTCTTTTTCCCTCACAGAGAGAAATCCCTGGAGATTGTCTGGGGAGAACCAAGATTGACTAATTAAAAAAATTCAGAGCTAAAAGTAAGCCATATACTGCCTGCTTGCTTAGAGTCCAAGTTAGGAACTGACTACCAGCAGTGTTGCTGCTTTGAATTAGCAGTTCCAGTGGGGAAAACTGTCCATTACACTGCTCTGCAAAACCTGACTTCTGAGCTATTTTTAATATTTTAATATTTTTACATGCTGTTAACTAGATGACTGCTGATGCTTGAGTTACTTAGTTTACCCCTTGTCTGATGTATTTACAGAGGATGCAAATCTGCCTTTTGATCATCCCAACACAATGACCTCTAGTTCTGACAAAGTTACAGAAAGACTTGTGCATATTGTGTTCAGAAGATAGCTAAACATAATTTTCAAAATCAACTCTAGCCAATGATGAGTAATATAAAGATACTTTATGCCTCTGGCTTTGCTAGAAAAGTGTTAAATGGCTTTAGAAAATAAGATAAGATCTTCAACTTGAAATTCTTTGCTGTAAAAGGGAAAGTCCTTTACCACAAAAATTAATATTTTGAAAAATGATATTACATAAAAAAGTAGGAAAGATTAGTTAGCCAGTGAGTTTTGTTTGAGAGAAAGTCCTGAGCTCTACTGACTGATGAAAAATAGATTCACGCTGATATAAAAAAAGAAATTAAATAACTTTCTGGCAAGAGCTCTAAATTGAAGGCTGTGAGATGGGTGGAAAGCAGGTAGACAGGTATGTACTTTCTTTCTAGGAGGCCTAAGTATATTCTGCCATTGAATTCAACAGCTCTGATGAAGTTGAAAGGCATGAAACATGGGCCATCTAAATGTTTGGTAGTAATCCGGTTTTTTGTCACCTTTAAATTGGCTGTGACCTCTTCAGAGGGTGTATCTACAGTTCAGGGGCCATTACAATCCAACCAGAATAGCACTGCCTTGTGCCTGTGCAGCAGGTGAGGCTTGTTGGCATTTACAATTAAAGGACATAGGGCACTGATGGAAGTACACTGGTGAATTCATCAGTAGAAATCACATAAATCTAACCATGAGCCATGTACTTCCCCAATCCCTGACCATAAAGCACAGCCTTCATCTGAACTGAATGCCTGAATATGCTTCAGGTCTTTCTGGCATGAAATACTTCACCAACTATTTAAGACATACCACCCATGCTGGTGGGTCTACGCAAAGCCGTGGGACTGCAAGTGAAAGCACCTAAGCCTGCAAATATAACATTTTAAGTACATACTACTACATACTTGTCAAGCAACTGTGTTAGGCCCAAATATCCATGGGCTTGGGCTCTGTTGCCCTGAGAACAACATAGGAATGGAAAGGACGTGGAAGTACTAGTTACAGGGCTGGTGTCACTGGACCCAGTGCACAAACTGCAGAAACCAAAGATGCCCAATTATGTAAGAAAAAAATTAAAAAATTATCCCATCACCCATTCTCCATATTTTTTCTTCATTTCATTTCAGACAAGGCTTTATTCTTACAGAATGTTTCCTTCTGAAAAATAAAAATTAACAACCCCCTTGATCTTCCAGTAATACTTTCTGGGAAAGAAATCTCCATCGATGCAACCAGCAGAGTATTTTCTCTGCCACAACATTATTTCTTAACTTGCTGAGAACAGTGTGGGTAATAAAAATCAAAAGGAGGGAACCAAGTGTCAGCCAAGCAAAAATGCCAAAAGACTAATTTCTTTAACTCATCTTTCTATTATGTGAAAGGATCATGGTCCTTGTTATGCTTGATGTTGACTAGATGGTAAGATATGTATCTCTGGAGTTTAAAGTGGTAAGTCTTAAGAAAATAGAAAATCTTCCTCATTAAAGCTGAGGCAGCACCACATCTGTAACAAATTTAAGGCATGTAAGGACAAAAAAGAACAAGGTGTTTTAAAATGTACCTCTGTGGACATGTGTAATACCCCACAGGAACTGGGTATCACGTTAGGTTACTGCTAACATAAATACATGGAATGTTTTTGGGTGTGGTGTGTATTTACAAATTTTTCTCAAAAGAAATTGATTACTGGGGCATTCAGCATATTTCTGAAGTGGCTGGATTCCCCTTGGCCCTCTCCCTATCTATTTATAGTTCCCTTATGAGTACAAGAAGCATCTTCTGTAACCTCAGCTTCCTGAGTCAGTCTATTGTGATGTCAGTTATTTACGATAACAAAATTGAGACAGTGCCTGTGGCTTGCATGGGACAAAGACAACCTTGTTTCTGTAAAAAGGGACAATCCTAGTGCGAGAAGCACAGGAAAGGCTATGAAGCAGGACTCCTAGGTGGTATTTCATTAATCCTGCCAGCTCCATAATGGGCTGGACATTGCACTGACAGAGGTTTTTTCCTTTCCATGGGATTGGACACTAATGTGAATGCAACTTTTGGAAAACTACTTCTCTGCAGGACAAGGCTTTGGAGATAGGTATCTTGTGAAACAAATGGATTGCTAGTGGGTAGAGAGACAGTGAGTGTCAGGATGCAAATGATTCAATACCAATTACACGTTCTGTGGTCACAGGCAAGTCATTCTGCACCTCTGCTGACCTGGCATGAAACTGGTTTATTAATATTTAACTGTCTAAGCCACAGATGTAGTGAAATTTGCAGAATGCCAGTAAACTCTTGAGGTCACAGAGTAGCAAAAGAAAACGAGAAGCATGGTTAGTTATGAATGAAGAGCATCAACTTTGGTGCAGCCTCGAGAATGTCACTTACCTGCTATTCTTCCAATTGGCATTGCATGGTCCTCAGGAGGGGATACAGACACCATGATGTGGTTCATATAAGCTAACTCTTCTCGGTGGGACAGGTTGATTGGCTTTACTTCCCTGTGCAGCCCATCCTCAGACAGCCTTGGTGGTTTGAAATCGGAGTGCCTGGGGTTCAATATCAAAGGATGCATGATAGGGCTGGGCATCAGCTGGATGACCCTGGTGTTCTCCTGGCGAGGGCTGGAGGGCTTCTGGAGCACCTCAGAAGGAGGCGGGCAGTGGTTGTTTTCTACTGGGGACACTGAGAGAGGATAAGGCTCTTGCTGGTTGTTCTCATGATGATGCCTCGTTCCCGGCACCCTGTCGGCTGGGGAGAGGCGACGGATAGTGTTGTCCATAGGGGACTTGAGTGGTCGCTGATCGGGATCTGGTGATGGACGGTGGTTGTTACTGATGGGCGATCTAGAACGATGCAACAGTTCAATGGTTGGGGGGTTGTGGTGGACTGTTTCTGTGGATGGTCTTGAAGGTCTCTGGACAAAGCTATCTGTGGAGAAAAAAGAGGTCCCAAAAATACAGATTGTCCACACTGTGATCAAGGTGTAGGAACTAACTCTCCAACTCCTAGCCAGGCTTACTGGGTACTGCTGTCAGCTTGGAAATGTTGACCTACAGATGCCCAGAAAAACATCATGTAAATGCAGATAGTTACTACTACACATAATGAAATCAGTACTGTGAAACAATCTCCTTCCACCACCATGTATCAATAGTTCCTGGAGAAATATGTTAAGAGAAATCCCATTATGAGAAGCTGACCAGTACATATGTGAAGAGTAAAATCTGATTTAGTTGTACTAACCCTGTTTCTGTGCAAATGCTTTGAAACTTATCTCCTGCCATTCATGTCTCTATGTGTGGTTCCTGTTACTGTACCACAATGACAACAGTAAGGTAGAAGGCAAAGACAAAAAGGGAAAATGTCTGCAGGAAAATATTGGGCTGTAAGTTCTAGATGGTAGAGGGCTCAGGTCAAGGTAGAGAATAACTCAGTCTGAAATACAGACTGGGTTATTTAAAAAAAAAATCACTGGTAGGAAGCTCTTTGTGAAACACTAGCTAAATTTTATCCCTGCCTTCATTTTAAGAGCATGTAACATCTACATAAGGATATTTTCATCTTCTTTTGTTTAGTCTATGCTGTCTATTGATGGGTTGTCCCATATAAGCACTTACATGTCTTCATAGCAGGAGGACTTCTAGCATCATGTTTGCATAAGCATACTTGCCCAGCTATGATGCTTAACAGTAGGGGGGAGATAAACCACAGCTCTAGGTCAGTGTCTTTACGTACTAACAATCCTCTCACAAAATTAAAATGTTTGCCAGTGCAAACTTTCAGGTTAAGGCCATCAGTTTTGACTTGGGAAATTACTGACAAAGAGGAAAATACCACTGGAGCACAGTGACTAACAGGTCTTTATCTGAAAAACAAAGATCAAATTTCAGTGCTGTTTGTTGAAAGCCTTGGATGATGACAGAAGAATACGTAAGTACGTGTCAAAAGCTCAAACGAGCAGCTGCTTATTTGTGGCTGCTGGTTTGTTCACTCCATTTTCTCTGATCCTTTAAGGATTCTTTTGCTCTCTTGTCAAGGCAGTGATACCTGCTGAAGACCCCAGATTGCCCACAGTGAAGACCCCAGGGCTCCCACTGCCCTGGAACCCAGGTAGGCATTGGGAAAGGGAAAGGTGTGAACAGGAAAAGCTCAAGTCCTGAGAAAATGTAGTGCAAGGCAGTGACATAGCACCAACCCTTTTCCCTACTCAACAGTCTGTTCATGCTAAAGTCTACAGGAAAACCTGAAGTTTTAGGCAGAACCTACATTGCTCCAGAACACTTACTGCACACACCTGTGGTCCCAGACAAGAAAAATCCATTTGTAGAGCTATTTAAGACATTCACAGTGAAACAGCTGGAGGACATGAAACTTCAGAACTATATATTGTTGTTGTTTAAACGCAGTTTTAAATACAATCTGGCCAGATAATGTGGAATAGCCCAAATGAAAGAAGATAAAAGAGGAATTAACTTACAACTGTACGTACTTCTGTGACTGTCTTTTCTTAAAGTCTCCTTTCTTTGCCACAATAGAAAGAAAATCAACCCCCAAATTTTATTCAGCATCCTATCTTCTACAGACCATCCACCCTCATCATGGTATATTCAAATGCCCTGTGCTCATTCTTGGCATGTAAATATAGACCAGAACATTGTATTGTTTGTCCTACTTATTTAAAGTGCCTTGGCAGAGGGGAGCAGCTATCTTTAAAGCAGAAAGGGATGCCTTGCTGTGCTTTCCATCAAGCTCTCTGCAAACGTTAGTTGGCTCTGACAAGCTCCAAAAAGAAACGGACCTTTCTGTCTGCTTCCAAACCATGGTGATACTGAACCTGGACAGAGTGGAGAGAAGGCAGAGACTGAGGAACTCTTTAAAAAGCAGTAAGAGGAAAAACCACAAATGGGTACACACTAGAGGTTCACTTTCCACCAAGATCTTTCTCTTTAAATACTTAACAAAAGAATCACCTCATGGCCAAAGATGCTGTTTGCCATAAAACAATTCCAATTCAGCTCCAAGGAGTTCCACTGCCACAAATGACCCTGAGCAGAATAAAATCCTAATCATTCATTTCTTGGCACAATCTGATGACTGTAGTTTGAGCACACATGGTATATCATTTCATGGAGCACTAGATTCACTCATCGATCTGGCTCTTCATTCAGAATGATCAACACTCTTTTCTTGAAAAGAAAGCTGTGAAAGGAAATTCACCTCCCAGGAAATTTGCTGACCTATCTGATCCATATTGGGATGGGTGGGGCTGCACTTAACTTGGGGAAGGAGCAATTGCTGGCATGACAATCCCAAAGACTGGCACTCTTTGCTTACCCACAAAAGTGCAGGGAATGACAGTGTAAACTTCCTGTATGGCATCTCATCAAATGACTCAGAGCTCCCTCAGAAAGACCAATGGAGATGTAGGTAATTCACTTTCCACTGGTCATCCCTCTACAGGGACAGAGCATTCCAAGGCAATGCTAATGCATCTTGGAGATATTCTGAACTGCAATTAATTTGAAACAGCCAAACCCCCTTTGTTTGAGCCTAGCAAAAAGCCACTATATGTAAATGAAAGCATTTAGAAGCAGGATCATAAGTATAATCTATTAGAAAATAGGCAAAAGACCCAGAAAATTGAAAAAGATCATTGGAGTAAGGAGGGATTCTAAAAAAAAAAACACCTCACCTATGAAGTTTAACCACTCAATATTGTGCCAAGTTAACACCTGTCCCCTCTGTCACAGTTTGTGAGTTAGCCAGGGTTAAGTTCTGCTCCTCACAGTCATTCTCCTTTTTTTACTAAGTTGCAATTTGCTGAGGGAAAATGAAAACTTAATTGTGCTAGTTTTTCCCAAGTGACTCTGTGAAATAGGAAGAAGTAATGTTAAAATACATAAATAAATAAATTCACCTGCCTATAAATTCTTGGCATAGAGATTTTTTGATTGCTCAGTCTTGTGACAGCAAACTGTAGTTTCTTTTGCTTGTTTTGAAGTTCCTCTCACAGCAAACCAAGAACTATTTTTTGTCATTATAAAGAAAAGTTTTAAGTAATAGCACAGAGTTTTCTAAGCAAAAACACTGGTACTATCAGCAGCCAGAGTGTTGTAAGGAAGAAATCAAAGTTGTTCCTTAATCGCTACATTATAAAGGACTTATGTTTTAAGTGATACACTTGAAAGGCTGACTCATCATCCCTGTGAAATCCTCTCTAGTGAAAGCTGCTCCATATGTTTAAGGTGGGAGTGTCTGAAAGAGCAGCTAGTTTGAAATTTAGAATGGGAACACACATGGGTGAAGGCCAAGCTTCAGGAAAAGACTGAGATTTTACTAATAGTCTCTGGAAAGTGACTGAATACACTAGACAACTCTCTTGCACAACTCTGCTAATTGAACCTCATCCTGACCTGTAGCGCCTTCACCTAAGCTGAAATAATTTACACACCTGTGTAGAAAGACTTTGGAGTGTCCTTATTCCACCTGCTGTTGTCCTGCTCTTGGCTTAATTTTAGAGTTTTGCTGGTGCCATTTGATTCTGGCAGGGTCAGACTGGCTATAGGTAATTTATACAGGTCTGACAGTACCCCTGAACCCTCTCTTGCAATCCCATGTTGAATCTTCAAATAGATGCATATCAAATAGCATTAGTACATCTTTTATCCAGTTAGCACAGACTAGGGTGACATCCTAACTCACTTATGTTCTCTTCTGTTTACTTACAAAAGGAGTAACACCACTTTTTCCTAGATTTTTTTAAATTGAAAAAGTGAATTCTGCCTGATGCTTTGAAAAGGCCTTTGAAGAGGCCTAGGTTTTATATTTTTCTGTTATATACCCAAGAAACCCAAGAAGTACTTTAGTGTGTGTATTTTTAAAGAAAATAAATCTTCAATTTTCTATTGAAAGCAGCAGACTTACAATTTGATCTGTACGAATAACAAGTAGAAGAAGCCCAAGTATGAAATTCCAAACTTACCTATTCTTTCTTCATCACCTCTGAGAGTCATGGTGTGTGTGGATACTACCAGACCTAAGCAAGTAATTCTGATAGTAAAAATGAGAGAAAACCTGCAGAAACCCCCTTCTCTCAATATGAGTTGCTCAACCAGCCCAAAAGCTGAGCAGCATGATGGGCTCAGTTCTAGGAACTCTGGCACGATGTTCAGATTGTCAGCCGAAGTGACTTTGAGTAAGATATTCCTCTCTGAGGCTGCCTTCTTCCTTGGTCTGCAAACAATTGCATTTACCTGCATCTCCAGGATACTAAGTCCATGAAGCAACCCTGTCTACCTAATTGGGTGCGAGGAAAAACGAATCAGTGGGGTCAATAAAACTTTCTGCTTTTTAATCTGTATCTGGCATAGCTTTTAAAGAGGCTTTGGAAAGAGAACAAAATAATAGAAGACAAATGGAGAACGTCTAGTTCACTCACTAGACCATTTGATTGTTCTAAAGCTATGGACACAAAGGGAGGAGAGTAGCTTTATTTAAGTAACACTGAAGCAAGAAATTTGCATAATTCCTCACAGCCTTACTCTACTTGCCTCTCTAATAGCAGCTCCTGTAAGAATGAGACAGAGTTACCTTCATCATGATTCTGGTGTAATATGACCTCTGGTTGAGCATGGATAGAGTTCCCAGGGTGGAAGAAAGGTGTGAAGAGCATACGAGCTTTCCTTTGCTTCAGGATATGCTGAAGGAGTTCATATAAAACATCACCTGAAAGATAAACAGCAGGAAAAAGGAAACAAAAATGTACATGACTGATGAGAAGACTCATTTAGCCATCTGATGCATGAAGTCATGCCTCTTGGGTGCTATTTTCAGACCTAAAAATGCTTGCAGTAAAATCCTACATTTCACTGCTTTGCAACGTTCTTCTCTGAAAGGAAAAAAAGGCACATCACACCTCTGTGTGACTGTGGCAAAACAGAACAACATTCCCTGGCATCGTAACTGTTCTGTCTTTCCTCAATGAAACAGACCACCACAATATCTAGAAGACCAATGCACTAACTGCTTATTTTGTGACTTTTATAAACCACATCGTGTGTTGATGCCCTTCTTCCAACAACATCTACATAAAACACACAGGTACTTACACATTTTGTCTGGTGTAACTGGTTGAACATTTCAAAGTGAAAATGTACATCACAGGGTAGGAAGTCTCTTGACTTTTAATTCTGCTTGCTCTCTTCTGTTTGTCACTGCTCATATTACAGAGGAACAGGTTGCAGCAATAACATATTAACTGAAAAGGAACTTGGGTTTCACTTAAGAAAACATATTTTCTGGGAAAGTTATCTCAAGCATGTGGGGATTTTTTTAGCAGTTGTTTCTACAAGATTGTAAGCTGCGCATCATTTGTTCCTTGTCTCTATAAACTGCCAATATTCTATTTGTGGACAAGTTTAGTTGCTTGGTGTGAAACAGTTAAAGCCATACTGCTTTCCATAGTTCGGCTTCCTTTATTTTTAACATCTTGGCTGCTTTTACTGTCTCAGCAGTGACTTTAGGGCATTTTTAAAAGGTGATTGCAATACCTGAAAATTCAATTAAAAACAAAGCCTCAAGAACCCAGTTACATGGCAGTCTAAAAAGTGATTTTACCACATACTTTCCATAACTGAATACAATAGTGGCATAATCATAACTAGTGCTGTAACACTCCAAGCAATAAGATAGCAAATTTGTACCTCTTTTGATTTGGCCTGACAGAGTAGTGAAAATGTCCATAAAGCTGTCTGTCTTTCTTTTAGCTAACAAAATAGTTACACTTCTGCATCACCCAGGTGTAGTAATGCTAGCTAAGATGGTGAAAAGCATTTTTCATTCTCTCCCTCCTCTGCTGTCCCCCTTCCCTGGCCAGCCTGAACAGAACATCTGTGGGGCTGTGAGCCCATTTTATTGCTTGGACTGTGTGCAGTGGATGAGGTTCTCTTGGTTTAACCATGAGTGGAAACAATACAACTTTCATTTAGCTTCAGTCTTGGAAAACTTAATGCCTCTATGGCAAACATTATTTCACAGTTCTTAAATTTCATAGACAGTTAATTTCTGGGAAATACTGAGGTAATGTCCTACCTACAGTCATCTAAATTTTTAAGGACTTACTCAGATATTCTCTACAAGGTTTATTATCAAGGTTTATTATGGGGAACACACAGAGAGAAGAAAGAGAGAAAATGCAAGGGAGGAGGCCTTTAGTTTGGTTATTTCATTCTAAATTTAGGTAAATAACTGCTTAACCTTCTGCATAAAGTAAGACTTTCCAAGTCAGAGGCTCTTCCCTGGGAACACTTTATTTCTAGCCTACAAACATTTTCAATCCTGCTCATTTCAAGTGCCCTCACAACACAAAAAGGGGAATATACCTTCATAACTTCCACGCAGGAAAGTATAGTAAGGGGAGTTGCACACAACATACATAAAGGTGTCCCTTGCAGTCCTCACCCACATCCCTGCATTCAACACTCCTTTTGCTTTAAGCAGGGCTAATTTTTTAGGAAAATGATTCCAAGTGGAGTACCAGAATTAAAAAAAAAAAAAAAAAAAAAGACATTTCTTGGCATCAGTTCTCACTGACAACAGGCGCTAATGTTTGGCCTCTTCTTCCATACAAAATAAGCACATGCTTAAAAAACTTCATATGCACTACATATAAGCAACAATTTGCGAGGTAGATTCTGCAGGAGGATGGCTGGGGAGATTCACCAAGCAGGCTGGTGCAGAATTACTGCCACAGCTTGATTATCAGCTGGATCCAAGCAGCATCAGCTGTACTTCAGCACCTAGTGAGCCTCGCACTAGAAGCCTCCTCACAGCAATTCTGTCACCGCTTGGTCCAAGCTCTTTGATCACCTATGGTGATTGAATTACAAGCCTTTATATTTAACAGGAGTACCTTGTATGGTCACAAAAAAAAGCTCACAACTCATATTTAGTTAAACACCCCTGACAAAGGAGGGCAGATGCTTACTCTGACTGTAAAACTGGAGCAGACAGACTGCAGGAGATATAAATACAGGCAGGCAACATGCACATTTCTAAATCTTCTTTGTGAGTAAGTGAAGACATAATTTGAGCAATAGGCAGGACTGATTCACACATCTGTCTGTGCTGTGCCTTGGGCTGGATTCCAGCACATGAGAGAATACGGTAAAGTAAGGCAAAACCCACAGGGGTTGTTAAATAGAGGCAAAGTCCCCAAGGGAGGAGTTTTGCAGTTGCTTTTAGCAGCACCTCAGCCAAGTTAACTGTGAGGCAAAATGCAAATACAGGCTGCTTAAAGATTAACTTGATTAACTTGCTGCTGTAGTTGGGTCTGTGAACAGATAAGCCTTTAACAGGGAAGAGCTGGAAGTCACAAAATGCTGCCAGAGAAGCTTGCTTTCTGGGAGCTCTGCAGGGAGTTTCACCTAATAAACAGGTTGGAGGTTTGAATTTGGATTTGCGCTCAAATATGCCGACAACTCAGGTGTATCAAGATTTCATTCCCTCTCTGTCCTTTTTGTCCTTGCCTCATACAAGTGTCCCCGTCCTCTGTCTCCCCTCCCTTTCCCAGTCTACTCCAATAAAGGCGACCGTTTCCTCCTATGACCCTGTTCAGCTTTTGTTGCAGCTTCCTCTCTCTTTTCAATCACAGCTTCTGTAAAAAATTCTCACCCGAATGAGGAGACCTGTATCGGAAGTCCTCTTTGGTCAGGAGCAGCAGAGCCTTGCCGTTCATCTCGAAAGTGTTGCTCTCAATCGGCCTCAAGGAAAACTCCTTCTCCGCCCACCTGAGCCACTGTGCCACATCCTCCCTGCTCCAGTAAACGGGCTGCAAACCTGTGGCAGGAAGAGACCGTGATTGTGTTACCAAATTGAGGCAAGGCAGAGGAATGTGGGTAAGTGTCAGTGAACCCCCCTTTCCTCCCACACCATAATGTACAAAGTCTCAGGGGAAAGTGTAGGAGAGGAATGTCGTATTGATGCAGAATTACTCTAAGCACTGGACTGTGAAATACTTCATTAGCTTAGGCACCTTGGTTTATCTGTGACATACTGTGAAACAAGAACTGCCTCAGCATCCTGAAAAAAAGCTCCTAAGAAATTATTTCATTTCAGATTTCCACTGTGCAGTGGGGTTTTCCTCCAACTGCTCCTTGTAATGTGCAGAGCAGGCAGCAGGCAAAGTCCTTGGCCCCATCCATCCTTGGTGTGTATCCTTTCATGGAAGAGAAGTGTGCTCTCTCTTCACACCCCTTGTAAATTTATGGATGAAAAATAACAAGAAGTTGTCAGATGCAAAAGAGCTGGGGTCTGTAAGGAAGGGCTGCTTAACACAGCCTCTGTAACAATGTGTCTGTAAGCCATTATCAGTCCATGTATGGTTGAGAGAGGCGTATTCAGACAGGCCCACTCCTCCTCCAGATGCCATCACATTAGCAGATGCTATTCCCGCACTACAGAGGAAAACCAGTACTGAGACTGTGGCACCTTTAGCACTGTGTTTCCTGTATAAAATATTAGCAATGTAACTCTGTCCATAGAAGGGGATATATAATTTTATGGCAAAATAGCAGGGATATCTATTGGTTTGGGCACAGATTTTCCAGGGTGCCGAGGAGAATCTGGCACTCCCTTTCTCCCAGCCAGCTCGTACAGCAGATAGAGCCTAGGCTATTGTGTTTACTCACAGGGGCCCAACAAAGTTACCATCAAAATTTTGTCTTTATTGGGCCCAGGCAGAGAAGCTTTGGAGGTAAGACAATTCAATATCTGTTCTCCAGACAAATTTAAATAGTTTCCTTCCCCTGATAGAAGGAAACTACCCAAGTAGAGAGATTATCTCCAATCCACTGGGTGATAAAAGCTTTCTCTTTTTTTTCCCCTGGTGAGATGACTCATTGTTTGACTTGCTACAAAGCTTACCCACTGTGCATAGGAACATAAAATTTGCTGAATGTGATCAGCTCTCGGGTACACAGACTCTGGCAGAAGCTAGTACCTTATGCTTCAGAGGAAGATGAACCTCCCTTCCTTGTATTGCACCTGGCTGATTGTATGCTGCACATGGGAAGAAATTTCCTTCCTGGCACACCATTCTCTGAGATCTGATTACCCTCTTCCTACCAAACACTAAAAGAAACCTGGGAGAGTTGTACCACTCCTGTTTTGGTTTGGTTTTTACTTCTTTAACAGATAGGCAACTCTTTTTTTCTGTTTTAGCAAGAGGTAACATGCAGTGAATTGCATTCTTCGGCTATGCCAGATTCCCAAACAATGGCTTTGGAAAGTCCCAGAATCACAGCTGCATACAGAACTGAACCTCTGTCAGAAAAGGAATTGAGATCATGCCTGAGAAAGGATCAGAGTTGACCTAAGGAAGGGACCTCTGCATGGCAGTAGCAAGAATTTCCTCTGGCTTTCAACTGCACTGTATTATGTGCCACACAGAAACAAGTAGTAGAAATTATTTATTTATGAAATATTTGAATTCTATTTCCCCTATGAATTAGGGTCTGCTTATTTGGGTCAGAGCTTTCTGTAGGACCTTTCTTTCTGAAGAGCCTGAACTGAGGTGAGGTGCAGATTTGCTCAGAGACATGGAAACCATCATCTGAAATCCCAGAATGAGGTTCATCTTTTGCTGAATACAGAGCTATTCCTGCAGAAAATACACTCCAGACCCCAGGCAGCATGCACATTGACTATAGCTAAAAGAGAAAGAAGTAAGACATGATGCAGCCAGACTACAACATACAAAAGGGTTTTAAAAGACCATCTGAGGAGTGCTTGAAATACTCTTGTGTGGTTTCTTTTGCCTCCCTCTTTGCCATGCCACGCAAGTCATAAATTGCCCAAAGGAGAACTGTTGTGTAGAAATCTAACCAGACTTCTGATGTGCATTTCACAAGATGAGGCATGAAACAAAAGAAAACATCACTGGGAAAATCAGGTTGACAAGGACAGAGTTGTATGATAACTTCACATGAGGTGTGTGCTCCCTTATATATACATCAACGTAATAAATAAACCACTCCCTGTACAAACACAGATCAACATTTCCCATGTGCTGGTGACAATGTACTTTTGCCATCCGTCCAACTAATGCAAAAGTACCGTGTTAAAAGAGAGGTGCTAGACCCAGAGCAGCCAGGTAAGTTAGACTGGGACAAGCCACGAGCTGTGCTGGCTACTCTGAAAGAGACCCAAAGCTTCACACTGCAAATCAGGTCTCTGCTGGGTTTCAGCAGCATCGCTGAAGCTTGTGAGAAAAGTAAAATATGACCTCGGACCACTTGGCTTGAAACTACTAAGAATCAGCAAGCAGCCAGTCTAATTCAGTTTGGCTGTCACTAAAATGAGTGGGTGGATGAGCCACATCTCTCCATCCGTGACGTGACACCGTAATTAAATAATTACATTGTGTGGAAGACATAAGGTGCTATAAAAGAAGTTAACTGCTTTTTCCTAGATGGATTGCTTTTTCTTCTGTTTCCCTCCCTTCCTGCACTGCTGCTTTCCTGGGAAGTTAGTTTCTCAAAAACACGTCCCCACTGCATGCCCATTTGTTTTGTGAGGCTGAACCAGTTCAGTCACAGGAGGCTTTTCTAGGGGTGTACACCAGTGTTGCTAAAAGTTCTTCAGAAACTGTCATTCAAAAAATAATTCCTTCATGTGCAGTACAGCATCTGCTGAACTTGTAATGCCACCTTCTTGGACCTTTCTTAAAAAAACCTACTTGGTTGTGTGAAAACAAGGTCATGAGAAGGTTGGCTTTGCAGCTGAAGGGATTTTACAGCACAGTGTACATTGTTATCAGTAGGTCCTGAAAATGGTTTCCTGTACTGTCCATGAAAGAAAACTTAATCCTGCTCACACTATTTTTCTTCTTTGGACGCTGTTTCTTATTTTCCCCTCTCCATCTTCTCTTTTAGTCTCATGCACACAGTGGAGGAAAATGGGCTCTTTTTATCTCCCTAGCTTTATTCTCTGCAAAAGCTAAAAGCAGTGTCTTCAACTAACAAAGATATTTACCAAGCAGAATGAAATGGGGAAAATGAGAGCTGTGTTGCAAAATGAGGGCAGAGTTTTGCCTGATGAACTGACTGTTGAAATCAGTGTGAAGGTTTTGCTGCTTTCAGTAGGTGCAGATCAGATACAGGGGAAGCTGCCCTTCTCCCAGCCTGCCCTCTTGGTGGCCAGCGTTGCCAAGGACTTCACAGGGTGAATTTTGACCTGAGAGTCAGACCTGTCTCCGCTCCCATCTCTGGCATTGCTCTGCTGGTTGAAATCTGGCAAGCATTCCCAACTGTGGCCTCCTTATCTCTATAGTGTAAAAATAAACAACAAAACCTCCTTGAACTCAATAGCTGAAAGCAGGTTAGACAAAGGTGTGTAACCCATCTAAATCTGGCTCTGTGAGATTCAGTGCATTTTCTGTCTTCTGTCCGTTTCCAAGCACCACCTCCAGCAGAGTAAAATGCAGTAACTTATTGACATGTTTATAAGCTGACAGCTTCATATGTATTAAACAGGGAGCAAAATTCGTGCTCACCTTTCTAATGCCACAGGCTGATGCACCGGTGTCTTAAGAGATTATCTACTTCTGCGGCATATTCCTCACCTGAAATCCTGTTTCTAACACCTGTTACATTAGCTACCTTATAAATGGTGGGAATGATCAATTCTCATGCTGCAGGGCACAAGCTGGTAACCATCTGGAGTGCAGAAGTAATCCCTACTTCATTCCTTTCTATTCCCAAGCAGCAAATCCAAGTACAATGGAGAGGAGCTGATGAGGTAATTTACACTTTAAAGTAGCCAGTAAACATGTTTAGCACTTACACCAAGTGACAGAGGCATGAACAAGAGGAGCGCTCTGCTCACCTAGTATAACCTTCTGCACACTGAACTACACAGCCAGCAATATTTGCATCTGACCACAGAGTTTTGGTGGGGTTACAAATTTGTTTTTTGAAGAGATGTAGCCAACCTTGAACCTTGCAAAGCACTCATATTCAGCATCTCCTTCTTTGGTTGGGAAGACAAGGTATGTATTTTACAGTATGAGTTGCTATGTACAGTGCATGTAACAGATACATCTAAAATGTGAACTATAATGTACCACAGGCTCTTTTCACCTTGACTCGTTTTGGAACAATCTGAAGGCACAAATCCAATGTAAAATGTGATGTAGAGAACCACTGAGAGCTGCTGTTCTGTTTTAGTTTCGATATGAGGACACAGCTACATGACAGCATGCGTGATGGAAGCACCATTCGTAGTAAATGTCATCTAATTTTTTGTTCCTCTTCAGCGAGGCTCTCCACCCTCACGCCTGGCTGCCTGGCAGGCAGGATGATGATATGAGAAGGGAGTAAAGACAGACCTCTCATTTATCCCTTCTTTCTGCAGGGCAGACAGAATTGTTCGCACTCCCACGCCAAAAACTACTTAGCATGGTTGGGCAAACAGCAAAAGGGACAGTGTATGCAAATCAGCAGCTGGTTTCTGAATACCCAGGGACAGATGCATCATCAATGGCAGCATGAAGGAGGCCAGTTCTGTCTGTAGCACAGTACTTTGAGCCATTAGTGGGAAAATGATGATGGGGAAGTTCAGAAGACTTGAAAGTCTGCTACCAACTAACTCTTTAGGAACTGATGCTCTCTTTTTTGTTACCGATTAACAAAATTTTTCCATGTCCCATAAAGCATAATATGTAGCTCTGAGTATGATGGTGTATGTCAAGCAGGAGTGGGGCAAGAGGTTGTGTTTTTCTTCATTTCTGTGTAAAGGTAACACAGTCTGAAAAAAAACCCCATATGATTAGATTTAAA